ATATATATATATATATATACGGATATTTTTAATATAATGAAATAAATATTTTTACAAAAATAGTATTTATTTGTTCGAGAATTAGAAACACAAAACTAAATGCATAAATATTAATCCCAGAAAAAAAAATCACATAACAATGGGAGTTCTTATTGAACCCGTTTGTTTTACGGCCGCTCTCTCGTCCGATTTTTGCAGTGCGCGCCGACGCGTAGGACGTCAGCTTTCACGTGAAAGAGATGCCATTATTGTTTGCAAAGGCATGCCACTGAAACGTACCGCACGTAATTGCACAAAGGTGGTCTCTGTCCAGAAAACTGGTCCGCCCGTCTTGCGTAACGAGAAGACCGCGGAAATCGACCTCGTCGGGCAAAAAGAAACGCTTGCATCATCATCGAACGCGCAACATGCGTGCATTTCATCGTGCGCACGACCGGAAATATTTTTGATCTTATCATTTCACACGACAGACCATCTTATGCATAATACTCTCTGACGACGAAAGTGGAATATTTGATTTCAACCGGTCGTACGAGTCTCATATCTTCTGACGTGGCGCAGATTGATTTCCCGCATTTTCGAGATCCGTAAAATAATTTACGCCGCAAGCCAGTCTATTTCTTATCGCGGAGGAGATTCTATTAACCAAATCGACGCGGATATGCGATTTTAATTCACTTCGGAATAGCTTCAACGCGGAAATCGGCAGAGAGCCATAAAAAGACCAAAAGAATCCGTAGTACCTGACTGTTCCCAATTGATCTATTCCATTACAGAATCGCAGATTGCCCCTACAATTAAGTGTTATTCTAAGCTTCTATCCTGAAGTCATTTTGAAATTCTTACTTAATGTGTGTGAGTAAGATATTACGTTCTACGATACATCGGACGTTACCTTGTTATGTTCGAAACAGTAATTCGTATTCCATTCCGTGTATACCCGCCAGTATTAATCTGAAAATAAGAAATCAAGTTGATTGTCAGGAATACATAATCCCTTCATTATCTCTCCAGGCATAGGCGTCACTTTATCAAGAAGTGTATGGACTTCTAATTTCATTCACAAATTATTGCTCTGCTTTATTTAAAAAACTTGATCGGATATTAAATAAAATGTAATTATAATACTGCTTTTGAAAAGATGTTAATTTTAATAATAGTGACAAATAAGTAATTTTATCAATTACACGAATCATACTTTCAGAATCATAAATTTTATATATATTGAAAAGCTCCGTAAATTTAATTTCTAATGATTAATACGTTGCACAATGAAGACATTGTGGATTAATTGTATTATTTTCATTTTTCCCCTATTTTTCTTTCTTTCGTAACGGAAAGCGATGAAACGTTAACAGGTGAAGGATAAATTTGACGAAAGATGACATTGATGAAAGAAGTTTCCTCCATTGATAATGCTAAGATTAAGCAATATTGATGGATAACATTGATGAGAAAGTCTTGTGAGGACTTCGATCATAAATCCCTCGATGGAAACCGGAGACGGATGAACCGGACGTTTAGTCGACGCCCATGGGGACGATGGTTTGCCGATCTGCCCCAAAACTGGTCCGACCAGTTGCATAATCGGAAGACCGGGAAGTCATGCCTTTCCGCGAAACGTCTGCGAGGTGCACAATAAGAGCTAACTGACTTGGACGTCACTCTCGTCCACTTTCACCGTCGGTTGCGCGCACAGTTTTAGCCGGTGGTTTTAACTGCGACTATATCCGCGTGCGACCAAAATCTGTGAGAGAGGAAACGAGAAAGGAAGACAGAGAGAGAGAGAGAGAGAGAGAGAGAGAGAAGAGGTGCGCAATTTCGCCGACCGACCGGAATCGGATGTAATCGATTTAATTGAGGTTTACTGGAAAAGGAGCCACGATGAGACGATCCGATGAAATCACCTGTTTCGAAATTGTGCGTGAAAGTGATCGAAAGCAGATCGACACCCCGTCCCTTCGGCTCCCTCTGCCGGCATTGATACAGGTACATGTTTTGTAGATCGCAAAAAAAAGAAACTAAAGTTTCGTTATTCACAAGTTGAGCAACTTGAATGCCGAAAGAATCGGTTATGTCATGTGTATTGAGCGATATATACCGAAGATTATACTTGAAATGGGTTTGTAAGATAGATAACACGAGATGGACCGAAGGGAATTGATTGAGTGTACTTATGGGCACGCGACGCATCGTCAGTCATTTCGAAACTATCGGTGAAAGTGATCAAGAAGAGATTAAGCGATAAATTTATATTAAGAGACCCTGATAATATCTAACTCTCTAGTGGGTGTGTTAGCATATCAAATTAATTAACATATAAAATACAACTCATTAATTCGGCAAGAGTGTAAGCTAAATTGGCTTTACTGTAGAACTTTCTTTTGGGGAACGATATCCGTTTTGATATCTTCCTACACGTAGCGAAAATTATTCAAAATGCAAAACTTATTTTAAAATATTTTCCTTTAATCTCATATGCGATTTTTTTTAATAGATACATAATTCGAGAAGATCACAAATTATTAGTTACAAATTATTTTACAAGCTTTCTATATATTTAAACTACGTATAGAATATCATTTTAATAGCACATAATTTCGCAATAAATCTGTAGATACAAATATTTTGTTATGTATAAAAATCAAATCGTGACGTACAAAATATCAAATTAGCAAATGAAATAATTTTAATATTGTAATTATCTTTTTGTTTAGCTGGTTCTATTTGGAGAAAAAATTGTATCGCAATTAACGGCAGGACAAATAGCGGGAGATAATGAAGGTTTTCTACCTTTTGAAAGGTGCACTTTTGAGAAACAACAGACTGCATCGGGATCGTTACGGTGATCGTGAAGACTATTACGTCTGCGAAATAAACTTGGGGTCAACGATATCCCAGAATAATATCTGGCATTACTTGGCCGGTAATGAGGGTGTAATTATGATCAGTGTTTCAGTGAAACAATGCCCAATGCTTATGCAACGCGAGACATAGAGCGGCACCAATGTCACTGTCTCGCGCGATTAGATCGATGATTTATACAACGAATCATGCTGGCTAAACAGAAAACATGGACCATTGTTCAATTATTGTTTTTCTTCGACCAAATGAGATTAAAATTTTACTCGATAATTATCCCCTCTACAGAACGAAAAAAAACCACTATATAATAACACTAAAACAATATTATATTTTAAGACAAAAAATATAATGAAATAATGACAATGAATGTTAATCGAGAAAAAGCTGTAAAATTTTTAAAATAGATTCTCCCTCTCTAAAAATTAATCTTGCATGTTTATTTTAATAATCTTTTTAAACGTGTAGAGAGATATAACATATGTTTGTGTTTTTTAATGAATTACATAAAAAAATTTGCCTTACAAAAATAATAAAATTTGGTAAGATAAATTTCATAACAAACATATTGAAATGATCGTAACAAAAAGTCCAGAGCCAAATAAAGTAAATAACGTAACGCAAGTTAC